CATATCGACAATGGCACTGAAATTTTAATGAAGTACTAGGAAGTTTTTTGAAAGAAAAGGGAATTCATCATCAGTCAACTAGTATTGATACACCTCAGCAAAATGGCATTGCTGAGAAAAAAATAAACACTTACTTGAAGTTTCTCGTGCTATCATGTTTTCTATGAATGTTCCTAAATATCTATGGGGCGAGGCTGTTTTAACTGTATCTTACTTGATCAACAGAATGCCTACTCGTGTTCTTAATTACATTACTCCTCTTGAGTGTCTTAAAATAGTTTTTTTCAGCAACATGAATTCAATCCAACCTACCCTTAAAGGTTTTTGGCTGTATTACGTTTGTTCATTTACCCAATAAAGGTTGGTCAAAATTGGATCCTAGAGCTGAAAAATGTGTCTTTATAGGATATGCTCCAAATAAAAAGGGATATAAATGTTTTAATCCCCAAACTAGGAAATTTTTTGTTAGCATAGATGTTTCATTTATGGAAACACAACCTTATTTTCAGAAAACTTTTCTTCAAGGGGAGAAGGAAAATGAAGAAAATTTTTGGGATGTTCCCTTACCTAAAACCATTGTGTTTGAACCTGGCTTTAAAGAACAGGAAATTAATACCACTTCGAAGTTGAGGGAAATTGGTGAACCTAACCAAAGCTTGCCAAACGTGATTGTGTCTTCGACAGGGGGAGAAATACTACCTATAGTTCTAAGGGAACTCAACTCAGAGCTTCTGGTTTATTCCAGGAAAAGAAGTCAACAAAAGGGTAGGGATCTGTCTATCATCGCTGCACAAAACCAATCGAAAACTCTGAGTAATGAACTCCTGAACCAACCAGGTACACAAAATTCTGTTTTACAAGTTTTATCGTCCATTTCTCCTACCTTATCACCCATCCTTGAGTCTAATACACCTTCCACGGAACCTCAAGCAGCCATTCCTGAGTCTAATGAGCCTTCCATGAAACCTCAGGATCTTAATATTCCTATAGCACTTAGAAAAGGAATTCGCTCTTGTACCAAACATTCCATTGCAAAATACCTTTTGTATGATAAACTCTCTCATAATCATAGGGCTTTCACATAAAAAATCTCACACTGGTTTGTTCCAAGAAATATTTAGCAAGCATTTGATGATCCAAATTGGAAATTAGCAGTGATGGAAGAAATGAATGCTCTTAGAAAAAGTGGAACGTGGGAAATTATGGATTTACCCAGAGAGAAGAAGACAGTTGGATGTAAATGGGTATTTACAGTTAAATGTAAAGCTGATGGAAGCTTGGAGAGGTATAAAGCGAGGCCAAAATATGGAATTGACTACCAAGAAACTTTTGCTCCGGTGGCCAAAATAAATTCCATCCGCGTTCTATTGTCTTTGGCAATCAATTCTAACTGGCCATTATACCAGTTGGATGTTAAGAACGCCTTCTTAAATGGTGATTTAGAGGAAGAGGTGTTTATGAGCTTGCCACCAGGATTTGAGGAGAAGTTCGTTCAAGATAAGGTCTGCAAACTGAAAAAATCCTTATATGGCCTCAAACAGTCTCCAAGAGCGTGATTTGAACGCTTTGGAAGAGCCGTGAAGGGATATGGTTACTGTCAGAGTCAAGCAGACCACACTATGTTCTTCAAACACACTGAAAATGGGAAGATGGCTGTTCTGATCGTTTATGTAGACGACATAATATTGACGGGATGATATTGAAGAACTAGTAAGCTTGAAGAAAAAAGTTGCGGAGGATTTTGAAATTAAAGATCTGTGAGTACTAAAGTATTTTCTCGGGATGGAGTTTGCCAGATTAAGAGAAGGCATATTCGTAAATCAACGGAAGTACATACTTAATTTACTTGGAGAAACAAGGCTCATTGGTTGCAAAGCTGCTGAAACTCCAATTGAAGCCAACTTAAAACTTGATACTGCAAAACCTGAGAATGTTATAGACAGAGATAAGTATCAATGCTTGGTAGACAAATTAATCTACTAGTCTCATACACGCCCAGATATTGCATTTGCAGTTAGCATGGTGAGCCAATTCATACACTCTCCTGGACAGGAACATTTTGATGCCGTTTACAGGATCCTGAGATATCTAAAGGGAACTCCAGGAAGAGGTTTGTTATTTAAGAAGCGTGGTCATTTATAGGTTGAAGTCTATACAGACGCAGATTCGGCGGGAAGCATGATTGACAGACGGTCAACCTCAGGTTATTGCACATTTGTTGGAGGAAATCTTGTCACGTGGAAGAGCAAGAAACAGAATGTTGTTGCTAAAAGCAGTGCAGAGGCTGAGTTCAGGTCACTTGCTCACGGAATCTGTGAAGTGTTATGGATAAAGAGACTTCTAGAAGATTTGAAGATTTCACCTCCTCCTCCTATGAGGGTCTACTGTGATAATAAGGCAGCTATCTCGATTGCTCACAATCCAGTTCTTCACGACAGAACCAAGCACATTGAGGTAGACAAGCACTTTATCAAAGAGAAACTCAAAAGTGCCAGATTTGTATACCATATGTTCCTACTATTGATCAAGTTGCAGATATACTCATGAAGGGGCTACACAAGAAGCTATTTCACACTTTGATGGACAAGCTAGCTATGGAAGATATCTACAAGCCAGCTTGAGGGGGAGTGTTGGAAAGGAGACTATTTAGTGGTTATTGCATCGGATTTTAGGAGTAGAATAGGCATGTAAATATAAATAGAAAGAGATTTTGTCAACTGCTAGAAATTAGGGAAATTAGCTAGTGTACAGTTGATAGTTTCCTAATTTATCTCCCTATAATTCTATTTAAGAAATACCTTGTAAACAATTTAAACACACGGCAAAATACTTTTTTCTCTCCATATTTGTTTATAGCACGGTATCTCTTTATCGCAAAGGAAGTATGTCTTAGATCTTCTTCGAGAGACGGGTATGCTTGGGTGTAAACCTGCTTCCAATCCTATGGATCCTAATCTAAAGATCTCGGCTAAGTCTGGAGATCTCCTTTCTGATCCCTCGTAGTATCAGTGCTTGGTAGGAAAATTGATTTAACTTACAAACACCTGTCCTGATTTGGGTTTTGTGGTTAGTGTTGTGAGTTAGTTTATGCATGCTCCTCATATAGCTTATATAGATGCGGTATATCATATTCTTCGATATCTTAAGCCCTCTCCTGGACTTAGATTATTCCATTCTTCTAGTAGGCAGTTTGGGCTATCCTGTTTTAGTAATGCTGACTATGTTGGGTCCAAGATTGACAGATGTTTCATATTTGGCTTCTGTACTTTCTATGGAGATCGTCTTATATCTTGGAAAAGTAAGAAGCAACGTGTATTTTCAAGATCTTCAGCAGAGGCTGAGTATCGTGCCATGGCCCACGGTACTTGTGAGATTCCTTGGCTTCAATCTTTCTTGGAGGAGCTAGGGCTAAGTGAAAAACAGTCCTCAAACTTGTTTTGTGATAACAAGTCATCCATTATGCTTGCTTCAAATTCTATTCTTCATGAGAGGACTAAACATAGAGGTGGACATTCATTTTATCAGAGAGAAGGTTCATTCGGGAATTATCAAGCCGTGCTTTGTTCGGTGCTTTGTTCACCAAATCCGTTGGTCCATCTTTGCTTCATTCCTCAATTACCAAGCTGGGCTTGATTGATATCTTCACTCCAGCTTGAGGGGGAGTGTTTAAATATCTGTATTATGATTATTATTATTATTTTTATTAGCTCTTTTCAGCTTTTTATTAGGTGTTTTATGTAAGCTTCCTATTATCATGGGATCACATAGATAAGATCCCTGTAATCATGGGATCACGTAGATTTTGGCATATTTCCTGTTTTTCTTTAATTTGATTTCCTTTCTTTGTACCATATTCTTATATATACATATTAGCTCTTGGCTCTCGGTTTGAGTAAGCCAAAACCCAAAACTTCTTCTTTTTTAATAAAGTCTGTTAATATGTCTGAAGGTAAAACCAAACTCATGACTGGTTTGGGAATCTGACAAATTAAATGGTATGGCTATGATATCACAAAATCTTACATTTCTAGTTTAGTATTTGTCAAAAATAAAAATTATATAAAAATAATAAAAGATAATATAAGGTCTGAGGTCAACTTGACTCAAAAGTGCCACTTCAAAATCAACTTCTTTGATCTGAAATCCCGCACGCTATTCTTTTACCCTATAACTTATTAGCTGTAAGAGCTAGTCTCATTTGACTCGAATTCATGACTTATTATTTTGTTCTGGCTCATTATTGTACCATTCGGCCTCCAATTTCTTGCAGCAGCACATTAGGAAAAAGAAAATTTTAAATTGCTTTCAATGAAATCTATATCCAAGTTTTTCACATACAACCCTCACACATTTCTTTTCTTTTTCTTTTTCCTTTTTCATGTTTGTGAACTTTAAGAAATTAGAAACATATCTGAGAGTTACTGTGTCCTAAATTTAGACGCTTTCGTTTTGCATTATGAAAATGTTTTATCAGTCTAACATTCTTCAAAATCTTCAGTCCAGTCAAAAAGTGTTCTTGAATCATAAACTTTCTACTATTGAATTTCCATATCATGTGCAGGATTTTAACTTTTGAAATTATGTAAATGAATTATAACAACTTTAAAAAGGATATAAATAAATAAATAAACATATAAAGCTCTCTCTCTCTAATTTTTTTTTTTTTTTTTTTTCTTTGGTAAGTAAACATTCTAGGTGTAACACCTTGATCAACTACTCAACTCTTTACAAAGAACCAGTGCTGCTGTCACACCTTTTCCACCACTAGATCATATGTGAATTCACATAAAAGGCATTCTACCTTCTTACCACAGATTATCTCAATTATATGGTATGTTCTTCAGCAAAAGAATCATTTCATGATGCATAAATTTTTATTTTACCATATCATTCCATTCCCATCTAATCCATTTTAGTTGTTGTGATAAACTAGAAGTATATTTCAAGCTTCATTTGGTAGATAAGTTTTGTGTCGTTAAAACTTTTCAACTCATTTTCAGAACTTCCACTGTACCTTTTGCTGGGTATCCTCTGTGGCTTGGTTTCATTGGCCTTATCTAGGTGCACATCGTTTATGCTGGTAACTGTTGACAGTGCTCACAAGACCATTGGCATACCAAAGCCCTTTTTCCCCATACTGGGTGGCTTAGCTGTTGGCCTGATAGCCTTGGCATATCCAGAAATTCTCTACTGGGGTTTCGAGAATGTTGACATTTTGCTAGAATCCCGGCCATATGTGGAAGGCCTCTCTGCTGATCTGTTGCTTCAGTTGGTGGTGGTCAAGATAGTTGCAACCTCTTTGTGTCGGGCAGCTGGATTAGTAGGAGGCTACTATGCCCCATCTCTCTTTATTGGTGCAGCAACAGGAATGGCATATGGGAAATTTGTTAGTTTTGCAATTTCTCAATCCAATCCAATGTTTCATCTCTCTATCTTGGAAGTTGCATCACCACAAGCATATGGCCTGGTATAGATCTATTACACTATTATATGAGCATGATGACATTTTAGTGGAGAACATTTCAGGCATACATCACCACAATTTTTTTTCATTTTATCTAGGGAACTCACTGTAATTTATTTGCTATATTGTTTGTACTCTGTTTAAAATTCAGGTTTGAAAATTTATATCGTTACTTTATAAAACATTTTAACCGGACAACTATCATTTACAGGTCCTACTATATGCTGTGCACCATTGTCAGTATATTCTATAAATTTCTCAATATGACATATGCATGGGCTGTTGGTCATCTTTGTTTCACCTTGTTAAATTTGAGGGTAGATGCTAATATAGTCCAACAGTGATCATTGCTTTTTAAAGGGTGGTTATATATTCTGAAAAGTCAACCAGGCAAAAACTCTTAGCTGGACAAAAAATGAGTCAAACATTGATTGGTCGGTAGACTTCCTGGCATTGACTATCACAAAGGTTTGCAGTCAGGTACTAGAGTCTGATAATCTAGGTTTGAATGTTTACCAAATGCTTCGCTGTAAGTCTGTAGTCATTGAACATTTACTAATTATTCTTAGCTACCATTGCTTGGTGAAATAGTAAAATGCTTGGAATACTACAGCAGATTTTAATCAGAGAGTTGTCACTTTGTGTAAATTAGGTTTGTACCCAGTCTATTCTCCCAGCATCCTGCACTGGCGAGACCTACAGTGAGTAATAGCCTTTCTAATTACCAATTGTACTTAAATGGAAACTTCTTTAGGTCTTTCTCCATTGAAATCAAGGAAGCCATGATCCGATCTGTAGATCTCTGGATATTTTGTATGATTATGCTCGAGTCATCAAGTGCATCTTGTTGCATAACGTTCTGTTGTTTTTCTCCTTTCTGGAAAATTAAACCTGCCAAGAAGGCGTTCCTTCTGCATATACTAATGTAGTAATGTACCCTATATACTTGGATATACTAATGGCATATTATATTTTACCTATTATTTAACTATAAGATTATCATAAATAGAGCACACTGACGAAGTGGTATTTGTCTACTTGACCCCAACTCTTATATGAAAGTGTTCAATGGAGTCTTTTATATTATTAAAAAAAAAAAAAATGTTTTAGCATTTAAATTGGATGTCACCATGCCATTGGCTTCAAACTGATATTTATCGTTTCTTCATTTTTTGCTGATAAGTAGATTCCCTAGAGTTCCAAAATCCATGATGTGGTTTACTGTGCTAGATTTTGTTGTGCAGGTTGGCATGGCTGCTACTCTTGCAGGGGTTTGTCAGGTACCTCTTACTGCAGTTCTACTTCTCTTTGAATTGACACAGGACTATCGAATAGTTCTACCACTTCTGGGAGCTGTAGGGGTGACTTCATGGATTACATCTGGGAAGACGAGGAGAATGGATGTCTGGGATAATAAGAAACTTAAAGAGGGAAACACTGCAAATCAACAACCTGAAATGTCTTCTTGCACCCAAAGCGTGCTTTCCTATACTGACTCACTTGTTGAAAAAACGTCCTACATGAGTAATCTTTGTGAATTTGAAAGTTCACTCTGTGTAGGTTAGGTCTGTGCCCAGTCTACCCCTCCTATCACAATCAATTACCAAGAACCAGAATGGTTAATGGCCTTTTTGTACTGTGTAGGTGATTCTAATCATGATATGGAGTTAGAAGAGCGGATTCTTGTTTCACAAGCCATGAAAACACGATATGTGACTGTCCAGATGAGTACTTTGCTAACAGAGGCAGTGACTCTCATGCTCACAGAGAAGCAGTCTTGTGCAGTGATTGTTGATAATGAAAATCTCCTGATTGGTTTACTTAGACTGGGGGACATTCAAGAGTTCAGCATATCTTCAAAAGCAAGAAGCAAAAGACCAGAAGTAGGGCACCCTACTCTTAATGCTTGTTAAAAATTAACTTACAATTTAACACCGAGTTTAATACAAATCAAATTTAGCAAAGATACTTGTTATCCTGTGTAGTGCCAAAAAAAAAAAAAAAAGAGAGAAGGAAGATCAAGGATTAATGAAACAGAGCAAATAATGAAGTTAAATCAGGAAAAGAAAATTTAGAGTGTTTTAGCTGAGCCCTAGCTAAATCAATGGACTAGTATGTCTTTAACTTGAAAAAGTAACCAACTCATTCATACATTCATATAAAAGAACGATAAATTTTTAGATATCTTGCATGCAAACTTCTGAAATGAATAGTAGTTCAAGTTTAGAAAATGGTCCTTCCCTCTTGGCCTTCCTCAAGTATTTGACATATGGCATTTTCTATTTCTCCACCTTGCTTTCCAGCTATTTGAATTCAACTGGTTGGATGTTCTTGTTACAGGAGCTTTTAGTATATCACGTATGTTCATTGAAAGGTGATAAATGTGTGGTATCGTGGACACTAACACCAGGCATGAGTATCCTTTCTGCTCAAACAATTATGAACAGACATGGAGAAAGTGTTCTTCCAGTTATCTTGGAGCATGTTGGAGATCACAGAGGACTCCCTGTTGGCATCTTAGACACAGAGTGCATCAGTCTAGCTTGCAGGTGTTGTCACTGACTTCTTTCTCTGCATTAATATTGTATCCTTAAAATGTTTCCACAAATATAGAGTGCAACTTAGGCAGGTAGTTTCGGGATGAAGACCAGACAAAGTTTAAGAGTTGAACAAGATGTCCATAACCCGAGACTACCCTTGTAGAGATTAATCCAACCTCAAGTTTTGTCAGTTTAGGCTAGATGTTGGGTTCTTTGAGTTGAGGGTGATATGAATTTATTCCTCGCATAGTCACATGTATAAAAGTTATGTTATAGGTGGGGAAAAAAATAAATAAATAATGTGCTTATTTTATAGGCAATTAGAAAAATTCATGGATAAGCCAAACTTGAAATATTTTCTAATATATCAAAAAGAAAATGAAAGGTAGGTGTTTAATTTCAAGAACCACATTATATGTCTCTGCAGTATCTCACCTTTCAGTATTGTGTTTGCTCACCTTTTCCCCTTCATGGCACAGAATTGTAGCAACCAGAGAATGCCTAAGCTGGTTTTCCACAATGGAAAGGCCAAAGCAATGATGGAGAATGAAAAGCCTGGTTTTTGTCATTTTCACCCAGAAAGAAGTATATCGTCTTCCACAGGTAAAAGTTCCTAACCCTGGAATTTCACTGAGCACATGTCAAAAATGGTAGGTTGATATTGAATTTGTAAACAAAGAATTCTTTGGTATTTAAAGTGACTGTAGCATCACATTGGAAAAACTGGTTTTCAGTAATTTAACGAGTGAAAACCAGTGTGGTTCTTGAGCTCATGATTAGTATTTCCTATTTGCATTTGCTTGTAAATGAGTGGTGAATTATACTAGAAGAGATTCTGCAACCTTTATTATTAGAACTGCTTGGAAAGAGATTTTATAAATTATATATATATATATATATATATATGATGTTGACGAATAGGAGATGTTGGATAGATTTATATGCTTCATGGTATCTGCAAGACTAGTATGGAAGATTACCATAATGTAATTGCCTTGAAGCTTCATTTTCAACCATCCACATCATACCAGCAAGTTCTGGAATGGCTGGCTATACCTTGTTGGTTGGGTTGTGTTAGCATATTCCAATAAAAAATGATTGGGTTTTGGACTGTAATTTGATTAGACCAATATGCATTAATTTTTGTGTTTCAATGACCTATTAAACAATATCATCTTATACAGTACTATTTATGACTAACTAGAAATACATATACAAATTGCAAGCAGACCTTAAAAAGGAAAAATAGGAATAATCTCACATTGTCGTACTTTGCCCGGTGAAATTTCAATCAATCTACATAGTAGCAATTCCGGACTTAGCCACCAGAATCTAAGCTAGAGTTTGCCTGTTGGTATGATTAGTAAACATAAGAAGTGTTGTTATTAATGAAATGGTAGGAATATTGCTAAAATATTTTTATTCTTTTTTATCTCTCTTCTCTTATGCATGAAGTTAAAACAATGCTTGATTAATTAAAATTGAAAATAGTCCAATACTTGATAGTTCTATTAATTTAGTGTATTTGCTTTTTAAAATTTTCTTTCTTATCAAACAAGAAAAAAAAAAAATTTTAATGTAATTTCTCATGTTAGATTATTAACTGTAGCAAAAAACAGAGAGAGATTGTTGTACCATCTATGTTAAACCTTTCTGAACCCTTTACCAAATTGTGTTGCTGGCAGTGGAATGGAAAGACATATAACAAGAGCTTTAGAAATGCTACACTTGTGAGATCCCAGAACATTTCAGTTCCGTCATTCTTGCTCTAAAGTAGCCAATTAATGGCCGTGAACGACATACGGATACTCTTTACATACTAATGATGTCCAAAAACCACCCCAATGACAGCGTTTTCCAGTGTGCAGACATGGAATGGGAATTTGACCATTAAGAAGCTTTTATCTTCTGTATTCAATAGAAGATGCTGCGTGCATGCAGAAAAACCTTATGCAGGATGGCAATCCCTGGAAAACTTTCATGCCCCATAGCAAGAAAATCATCCCTCTACGTCGGAGAATTTTTCAGGGTAGTAATACATGGGGACTACTTTTACCTCAAGGCAAAATAGTCATCTCCTTTCTTTTGGGAAGGCAAAAGATGAAATCCTAATTTCATATACATGCTCTACATTCTTTATTTATATGAGTAGACGATGATGGTGAAGAAGAGGATGATTAAGATGCATATAGATGATAAACTAGCTCGTCTTTGGTTTTTATTTCTTTTCACAGAACAACCTAAACATAATAGAAAGACGCAACCCCTTTCAATATGATATGTAATGCTCCCCAAGAGATTAAGTACAACTTATCACACATAAAATCAAAAGAGGAAGTGCTGCCCTAATAACATATAATATATATATATATATATATATATATATATATATATATATATAGGTCTGTAAGCTAACATATGTGGTATGAAAAGAAAATATCAGAAAAGATATATACAGATCATAATTCCTATAATATAATTTTAAAAAGTCAACTATCTAATTATGAATAATTTCTAAAAATCCGCCCTAACTAATTTCTTAACAATTCAGCCTACATCTTTCCACACTACCCCCTCAAGCGGGCTCGAAAAATATCTTGCATTCCCCGGCTTGCATGTAAGCAGGGGCGGCTCGATGTAATTCGGGGCCTTAGACGAAAAATAAAAAGTGGCCTTTTTCATATTATAATATGCAATATATTAATTATTAAATAATAATTAATTAAAAATCATCCTTCTTGCTTTTTGAAATGTAAACTCACTAATTAAATTCTTATGTTCAAGTGTGGTTAAAATATCTTTTTCAATAAATAATATAGCTAATCCATTTAATCTTTCTTGTGATATAGTTGATTGTAGATATGATTTTATCAACTTTAATTTTGAGAAACTTCTTTATGCTACCGTAACGGTTACCGGTATTGTCAATAAGATTGTGTACGCAATGCATGCATTTGGAAAAGAATCTAATCTTTTAATATAATTTAATATTTCAATTGAAGTGTTTGTTTCCATGTGTAAAATTTCTTTTAAAACTTTTAATTCTAAAAATAAATATAAACCATCAATATTATAAGACTCATCATGTTACAATGGCTAAATATTTATTATGGTGCAACTTACCGAAAAAATATTAAATATATAGAGCTGGTGTAAGAAAAAAAAAAAAAAAATGTATAAGATAGACAAAGAAATAAAATATTAATGAGATATTTTAGGAGATAAAAAAAAAAAAAAATTGAGATATTTTAGGAGATAAATAATTTCTCTATTGGTTAAAGTTTAATGAAAGGCTTGAATGAAAAATAAAAAAAAAAAAAATAATAAAAAGAACAGTTATTTTAGGAGATAAATTTTTTAGAATTAGTGTTCAATAAGGAAACGATTACAATATATTAGATGACCGCCTAACTCTCCCAAGGCTCGAGCCGCCCCTGTATGTAAGATTGTCAAATTTCCCCTTCAGTCATCCTTTAGTGAGGACATCTGCTACCTATTCTCCTATAGGAATATAGGACATACACGTCACTCCTTCCAATTTCTCCTTAATAAAATGTCGATCAACTTCCACTTTCTTAGTCTTATCATGTTAGACAGGATTGTGAGTTATGTTGATTGCAGCTTTATTATCATAGTAAAGCTTCATAAGCATCGGACTTGAGATTTAAAGATCTTCAAGTAATATTTTTAGCCACAAAGCTCACAAATTCCATAAGCAACTGCTCTGAACTCAACTTTTGCACTACTCCTTGCTACAATGGTTTGCTTCTTGCTCCTCCAAGTAATCAAGTTGACATCAGCATAAGTATAGTAACCTAAAGTAGACTTTTTATCCATCACACTACCTGCCCAATCATCATCGGTATAGGCTTCAATCCTTAGATGGCCGTGGTTTTCAAACAATAAACCTCTTCCAGGCGATCCCTTTAGGTATTTGAGAATCGATCAAACCATGCTATGGGTAATTCTTCCAAACCATGTAGCAATTTCTTCAATTTACACACCTTTCCAGCTCCATAATCATTTTCAAATCCTAGTGGTAGATTCAAAAACGCTTCTTCCTCTAGCTCACTAAGAACGAATTCTTTACATCTAACTGTTGCAATGGCCAACTTAAGCTTGGAGCAAGAGACAACAGCACCTGTATGGAATTTACCTTTACCACTGGGGCAAAGGTTTCCTGGTAATCTATTCCATGTGATGTTTATGTTTTTTGCTATTTTTCATTTTCAAGAATTTCTTGATTTCTCGAGAATATTTTCGCCTTTTCTCATTTTACATACCGGACACCATGGGATGTGCCGGGTGTGTCCGAGAGTCGGTTGGGGCATTCCATTGAGTTCAGGACTCTTGAAAATGCACCGGTTGCCATTTCGGCATTTTTTCATTTTTTGGGCCAGAAAGTCCCGTGTGGGACCCGCTACCGGAATTGTCGTGTACGTTTGTTTGGGTCCATTTGCATCTCATTTTTTTTTTTTTTTTTTTAATTAATGTGTTTTATGTGGTTTTTACATGGTTAGTGTATACATATATGTGTGTGGTGGAAAATAAAAGAAAAGTCAAAAAAGGTAGATATTTTAGTGGTGGGACCCAGCACTTAAGTCTTTAGTGGCCAAGAGGACACACTTTGGTCTCAAATTCTCTCTCTCCTGGCATTAGCTCTCTCTCCCTCACCTCTTTTCTTTTTTCTTTTCTTTTTCATCAAAAACTTCAATTTTTTATTTCTCCTCAACCATTAAGAATTTGGTTGTGCCGTTTGCGGCAAAACGGAGAGCTCGGCAAGATCTACGCTTTGATATAAGCAATTCACCATTTGGGCAACCATTGAATTTTCAAAATCTAGGACTTAGAATTGGGGCTTTTTTACAAATTTGAGGTAAGGGTTTCTAATTCACACTTTCTTAGGCTTTTTGTGAATTATTATCCATGATTTCTTGTTTAGCATGCTAGATTGTGTTGATTTTCCTTTAAAATGATTAAATTGTTACAAATAAAGAATGTGACTATGTGCTTTAGTTGATATTACATGAACTAGCATGCTTATATGATGTAGATTTCATGCCTTATATGCTTACTTTGCTAGATTATTGTTCAATGAAAGCATGTTGTAAATTTTTTTTTTTAATTTCTTGTAAAGCATGTTAAGTGGTTTAAGCTTGAATTTAATTGTATAATGATAAACATTAGCATGGCATGAAAAGCATGAAGCATCTATGCACTACATTGGGAAGGAAATGGGAAATTGGTTTTGAAAGAAATAAAAAGGGGTTTTTTTTGGGGAAAAGTTTGAAAAGGTTTATGAAAAACCCGGTTGCCTAGGAGTTGTCTTTGGGTCCGTGGCGTTAATGTGACCTAGAGAGAACTAGGGAGACTGCCCTAGCGTGATTGAGTTACCTGGCCCCAAATGACACCCTGGAGTTGCCTTATGGTTAGGGAAAGTTGGCCAATCTTTCTCTCGTGCCGCCATGGAGCTACCATGGGACGGGTTGCATTAACGGTTCGGAAATGACGATGGAAATGGTTTTGGAAAATGGGGAGTGACATTGCATGACATAACATCTCATTCCACGGCATATTCATTTGTGGTATTGGATTAATGATGTGGAATTGTAGTTATATTTTCCCCGGCATAGCATGATCCCGCTATCTTATTTTCTATTTATCGTATGGATTCACGAGGTCTCAAGAGGTGTTCCTTAGGCACCTCCTACTGAGCTTATGCTCACCCTTTTATATTAACAATTTTCAAGTCACAAAAAGGAGGCGGCGGATGACAATCCGCCACAAACATGAAGGGTTAGAAGAGTGTTTTGCAATCTTTTGTGTATAGAGCCATTCTTTTATAGAGCACCATGACAATAATGTATTTAAGTTTGTTTAGCAAGGCCTTGTATAATGACTATGTACCCTTGAATGTATTTTGATGTAAATTGGGCTCATTGTATGATTGCATTGCTATTTCATAGTTGAAGGGAGTTAATGGCATTGCATTGTATTAAATTGTTGATGTATGAGATCATGAAACTTAGTATGTCATATCACAATATGTTAAAACAGGTTTTAGATCAATTTCCTAGTCCCTATCAAAGTTTTCATCATTTTCATCATTTTGAGCAAATCCAGTAGCAGGTTTAGAGCTCGCAGGGTCATTTCGGCCGACCGAAATCGCCATTTCGGGTGACCAAACATTCCAGTAGCTTCAGCTACTGTTTGGGTCACAACCGGCAGACCGAAATGGCCATTTCTGTCGACTGGTACAAGGGGGTCATTTCGGCCGATCGGAACTTTATTTCGGTCAACCGAACTGTGACTGTTTTGTGCACTTTGTCTCCTTCTTTGGCATAATTAACTCCAAGCCTTGGAAAGTCTTTTAAAGCCTTCTTCAAATATATTTAAGGCAA